TTTAAATAAGCTGTGTTGGATCAAGGACACATCTAAAACCTGCAGGACACCGGCCCTCGAGGCCTTGGATTGCCTACCCCTGGTCTATGGTGAATGTGATGTTAAACGCCCATGTAGAAAGGACGGCACTGTGACACCGGACTTGCTCCTACTCTGGGTTCCCTCTTTATTCTGGTACAAAGACAACAGCACGTGGTCATCATCGACAGTGTGTTCTTAGTTAACAAAAGACTAATATACATTCCTACAATACAACGCTGTCAAAGTCTTTCTTTAAACGTTCTAGCTGAAACCAAATGTGCGATCATATAGTAGCAGTATTTTTATTTTTTCCATCCTTGTGCTAACCGAGGTGAGAGCTGTTATTTCTACTTTTTTCTTAAACAACAACAATAAAATAAAAAAAACACAAATTTCTCATATAAAACAAACACCATTGTTTATCGTTTTTGTACAACAACATCAAGTAAAAATGCGTAACAGCACCTACCTGTACAAAGATAACAGCACGCAGTCATCATCCTGTTACAAAACTGCAACGTTCCGGTCTGTTAACAAGCACTGCAACAGTTACAGTCTCATAGTGTTCGAGCTGGGTGGAGCCAGACAGCGCACACTACCTATCTAGTATTAGCTTAGCATGCTAACCAAAAATGCTACTGGTGAATAAAGTTAGTATTAATGCACCAAAATGCCTGTAACTTTCAGTGTACATGCTAGTACTGCTTACAATAAAAATACATATTAACAGTTACCTCTGTGAGAGTGTTTTTACTAATGAGCATGCATTATTTTCCTTTGCTGAGACAGCTACTGCGCAGCTATTTGGAACCTTAATGCAGTTGCAGTATTTGTCCACAAGGTGACTCCAACTATTCACAAAGTACATTAATTTTGAGGAACTTCATTGTTAAGCTCTTTTTGAACTCTGTTACACTCACAAATATTAATAAACTGAACCAACATTGTCAAGAAGGATATGGCAAAATTCCTCCACAACTGATAAACACTGGTAGAGTCACACAGGAAACGAGCACACCTTGTTTTTTGTTGAAGCAAGGAAAGCATAACATGCAGGAAACCATCATGGATGGGCCCCCGCTGGTCTGTTCCAACTCTCCCTGAGTCTAGGTTGCAGACCTGTTGCACATCAGTCTCATCCTCAACCAGCACTCAAGGACCAGCTCCAACAACCAGTCTCTGCCAGACCGTTTGTTTCATTAGAGTGGTAATCAGGCTCCTTCAAGACTCCCCAGCGTTTTGGCAAGATTAGCCTAACATATCTGTGTGGCTGAAGAGTGGCTTACTCTTCCTGTTCCCTTTAAGCAGGTCCAGAGGTCACTGCATCTGCTCCTCTGAATGGCCAACCTCCTTTGACTCCATTTACAGATGAAAACAAGTGAGACAAACAAGTAAGCCTCGTCACCTTGACTCACCTATCTCTCCTCTCTCAGTAACCCCTGCTGTCATCTTGCCTACATGCTCATTGTTATTCAGTAAATCAGTCAAACTTTGAATTTTGTCTGCCTTGGGTCTTGCTTCAGAGCATCGGCGTAACTTTGTGCTGAACATTGGGTGGGGTCACCTGTCTCTGTCCAAATAAATAAATAAATCTGGCTAAATTCCCAGATGATGAAATGTGCACCTACTTTGCTGGTAATACCTGAAATGAGTAAAGAAAATCAACAGCCTATTTATGCAAGATAATTCATAATTTTATTGGGGGGGGTCATAACCCCCCAAACTCCCTGCAAATTACGCCCCTGCTTCAGAGTCTGCTTTGCTTTATTTTTTCCAGTAAATAATGACATGTATTGTTGTTCATCTGATGCCTGGTAAGGATTAGATCATTTTTATTATGACCTGTTAAATAAAACAAAACTGACACAGAATACAGTCTTTTCTTTTATAAAAACCATGATTGTAAATCTCACATATTAGAAAAATAAAGGAGAAAATCAGTTTTTCTTTCCATGGAGAGGCTCAGTCTATGAAACTGGTCAAACTCTGGATGTAAAATGTGGAGACAGACAACTAAATTATCAACAACTTTGCCTTTGCTTGGTCTAATTACCGAACCGAAAGCCTGTGAAACAACAGTTTTCTTTAGCCGGTCTGGTTTGGGGTTTTGCCTGTAAATCGAAGCCATCAGATCTTCATGTTCATTCAGCACAGGGATGCTGTCGGCTGCTAATTCAGCTGCAACCGCATTACTCTCCTTCCTAATAAGGTTTACTGAGGGTCTGTCTTCCCAAGCTGCACCCTCCTCCACCCTCACAAACATCATAATGGAGCCTGACACACGCATGTGCCTTTGCTTTTTGCAGTGTGCTCTTGTTAATGAGTGTTGTGCGTGCGATTATGTGCGTACAGAAAGATTTCAGAGTGAAGGCAAATGTTTGTCTGTTTGAAATGTGTCATCAAATGCTGAGCTTCATGCAGAAAGCTGAGTCGTGTTGGCAACATTAAACTGGAGCTAATGTCTACAAAACCTGTATCATGTTTAACGGAGGTTCTAAGTTCCACATCTGTGTTATTAAAGCAGAAAATACTTGTGTGTTTATAAATTATGTAGGTTAATAATTTCTCCTGATTTTGTTTGACTGAGATGAGCCACTCTCATTAGGAGCCTTTTACAAGGATAATTTGGTAAGCCAGTAAAGGTCAGGAAGCCCAGCAGGATGCAGACAGTGATCAAGAACTCTACGCTCTGCTTTGACCTTCATACGTCTGGCCACATTTTGGCAGGCAAGCTCTAGCTTCTCCCCTCGGTTTCAGAAGGATACATGTGGTTCATTATTAGCTCATTTCCTGCTCTTGCTGAAAATCAAGTTCTGTGCTGTTAGCCAAGATGCAGTTAATTTTATTGACACAACTATTGTCTTTGATCAGTGCAATGCCCTCACTTATAAGGATCATTAATGTTAGAGATGATTTATCATCATTGCCCCTGTGCTAATCTTTTAGTCCTCGGTCATTTCTATGCATTGCTAAACACAGGTTTTGGGTGCTCTGCATTCAGAGTCGTATACAAAGCTGCACACGGGCACAGTCTAGATCAAAAGTTTAGGACCACTTGCCTTTGAAAGGCCAAATCTGTGCAAAAATGTGGATTCATTGTCATTTTCTGTCATTTCACTGTCATGATGCTCTGTTGGCAAAGGAAAACAAACCTTCCTTTGTTGAACGTGGTCGGGTTGTTGAACTGCATAAGCAGGGTCTCTCACAGCACGCCATCGCTGCTGAGGTGGGACGCAGTAAGACGGTCATTTGATATTTCCTAAATGATCCGGAGGGTTATGGAACAAAAACTCAAGTGGAAGACCCAAAAAAATGTCCCCAGCACTGAGCCGGAGGATCCAACTGGCTGTCAGTCGAGACACTGGACGATGCTTGACCCAAATTAAGGCCGTTACTGGTGCCGACTGCAGCCCCATAACCATCAGACACCATCTGAGGCTGAAAGGCTTCAAGAACAAAAAAAACGTCTCGTCTCCTTGAACGCCACAGAACTGACCGTTTGGACTTTGCTACAGAGCACCAAACATGGGACACTGAAAGGTGGAAGAAGGTTTAATTCTCTGAGGAGAACAAAAGTAACCTCGATGGTCCTGATGGTTTCCAACGTTGCTGGCATGACAAGCAGATCCCACCTGAGGTGTTTTCTATGCGCCACAGTGGAAGGGGCTAAGGTCAAATGGTGCGACTCTGGGACCGCCACCATTTGACCTTAAAACTGAAGAAGCTTCTCAGATCAGAGGCTAAACGTCTTCAAGCAACTTAAAGAAGTCCATACGCTTTTCTTTCCAAGCTCCTTAGGCTACAGTACACAATGCCTGCAGGACAAGAGACTTCTTATAACCTCACTATTTTGGATGATCCTGCATGTTCCCCTGATCTAAATCCAAGTGAGAACCTTTGGGGATGGATAGCAAGGGAAGTTTACAGAAATGGACAACAGTTCCAGGAAGTAGATGTCCTTCATGCGGTCATCTTCACCACTTGGAGAAATGTTCCCTCTCACCTCATGGAAACGCTGGCATCAAGCATCAATGTTTTCAATGTTTGAAGTGATCAACAATAACGGTGGAGCGACTCACCACTGAGTTCATGTTTAGAACTTCTGTTTTGGGGGGTTTACAGGGTTTTTTTTTGGTGTGGTCCTAAACTTTTGATCAGCTATAAAACAGCCTGTTTCAGTTTAAGTATTGTTTTCAATAAATTGCATGCTCAAAAAAATGTTGTCCCACTCCCATTTCTTCTTGTTGCATGTTGAAGCTCTACGTTGAACCTTGTTAAGATCCAACCATGCAAAATAGGATTTTGGGGCCATTTTTTAAGTGGTCTTAACCTTTTGATTGGGACTGTACCTGTTTGCATCTGTCTATATGACTCTTGAATGCAGCAGCACCCAAAACCTGTGTTTTGCAATGGATAAGTGATCCTCATAAGTGAGGGCATTGCACTGAACTTGATTGTATTAAAAAAACAAAAAAAAACAAAACAACAACAACAGAAACCCGAGTCAGTAAGCAAGGTGAGTGCAGCTTAAGTGTTGTGATGAAGGTCGCAGCGACACTGTGCTGATGACAAAACCAGTAAAGAGAAAAGCAGAGCAGGTGCAGAACTACAAGTCAAACAACACTAAAAAAAACTGACAAGAGACATTTATGAACTAGTTTAGTGAGCTAACGTTTGCAAACGATTAAAAGAGTTTGAACAATTCAGCCTCAGCAGACGTGGATCCTTCAGTGAATCCAACAAGAAAACAAGCTCCGTCTCAGCAGCTTAAAAATACCAAACAGCTAGTATTGAAAACAATTGAATCCACTTTTATTTTGCTTCCTTCCTAGCTGTAATAATCTCCACGATCATCATCTCCTCCAGCTCTAAGACGTCTTAAAATATTCCATACTTAACAAAACAAAGTGAAAATGTCACAGTTTGTGCTGTGGCAGGCAGGATGAAGGAGCCAAATGCAGGACTCATACACAGAACAGTAAACTCAAAGCGGCAGCTTTATTCGCTGGGAAAAATAATCCGTAAAATAAACTCACAAAAATCAAAATAAAACTTGAAACTAAGAACTAAACACTGGGAGACTAGAAAACACACAGCAAACAGGGAAGGATGCGACAATAGACAGAGGAAAACGCAGGACTTAAATACACAGAGGGATAACGTGGGAATCGGACACAGCTGAGAGCAATCACACGTAACGAGATGTGGAGGAAGCAAGACTATCAAAGTAAAACAGGAAACAGGAGACGGGGAGTTGACAAGGAGAAATAAAGAATATTAAACCAAAAACACAAACGCTGGGTCGCCTGAACAACAAGGGTCAGATGAACAGAGTTCTCTAAAAATATTAAAGCAGTCCAGGCAATAACATTTATTTTTCCAAATAAAATTCCATCAGTCATGACATTTTTTTGTCTTTGTTCACAGTATTTAAAAAGCTTCAATTATGTAGGAAAAAAACAGCAACATGTGTTTACTGGCTGTGACACTCTCAGCCTATCTGGACCCAAACAGAGGAAACGTGACGCCAGATTTCCGAGGGTACCGGTGAGAAAGGGGTCCATCTGGAAAACAAAGTCCGAGACTCACATTTAAAACCATTTCTGTGAATCATATGTCCTACACTTTAAAATAGAAAAACTCTTTAAAAAGGGAGAATTTCAATAAACTTCAGGGCACGTCATCAGTAAGTCGCCCAACTTCAGTGTGACATGTTTTTGGGATGCACTCAAACTTCTGCATGTTTGTAGATAAACCCACCACTGTATTTATTCCTCCCCTCACTGCACAAGCGCCAGCATGGTGGAGCGGCGGTGTATCGATATCAGGGCAAACGCACAGAGAGCAGCTTGTTGGGTCAAATAGCTCTGGTAACAGGTCTAATTGAATCTATGTCAGGTTTTCACTGCAGGTGCATCCACCATAGCAAGCAGCAGGGTGGAAATCAATACCCCCTCGCTCCATCCATGAACACACTAATTTCATTGAAGGCCAGTGTGTGTGTGTGTGTGTGTGTGTGTGTGTGTGTGTGTGTGTGTGTGTGTGTGTGTGTCTGTGTGTGTGTGTGAGAGAGAGAGTGTAAGGGAGATGGAGCGAATGAGGTACATATGTAGGTTAATGAAGGTCACTGTTTAATCTCATTACAAGATGTGTGCACGTGCAGGAGAGATGAGGCTTTTTTTGTGCAAATCAGGACCTTTGTTCTGTAATGAGAACAAAATGTTAACTTATTCTTTCCAAAGACAAGTTCTTGCCACAAATGCAGCAGAACTATAATTCATTATGAGTAATGGGTGATGATGTAATCTAGCATTGACTACAAACTGAACTAAAGTTCAGAATCACAAACACAGCTTGAATCTCATCTCTACAGAACAAGTTATTTATATAAATGTGACGCAGTTACTCGGATCCAAGACTGCATTCTTTTGCTCACATGACTTGTGTGCATATTGTGGACTTTTCTCTAAAGTAAGTCAGTGTGTGCATCTGTACCCAGAGTACCATCCTGAATTTGACCCAGGGCAGCAGTGTGGAGGCTCAGGGTGCTGAGGATTAGAGGAGTTCTGGTCATGGAGGGGGCAGAATCCTTAGGCTGGTGCAGCACCTCCTCTGGTCTCATGGAAGTGGGATTAATGACGGGTGGAGCTGGTGGAGCAGTCGGACTCTGTGTCTGGGGAAAAAATTACATTTTCATTAACAGACTAAAAACAACCCCCCCCTGCAAAAAAAAAAAAGTAATCGGTATATCTAATATTCTTCAGATGATCTCACCGTGAGGTCAGCTGTGGTCATCTTGGTCTGAATGAGATCTGGAGGTGTCAGGGGGCAGGTGACGGTTTGGTCTTTCAGCAGAGCGTTGAACGGGTTTTTCTCCTTAGCCTGAACAAGTTGTAACAGGAAACAACCACCATCAGTCTTTTAACCTCAGTGGACAGACAGCAGTGGATGAGGGTCAGTGCCAGGTGCTCATACCTGGATGTGAGGGACAACCTTGCTATCCCAGATATACTCCAGGGCAGGCATTTCATCTTCAACCTGGTACATCAAGACAAAGTACGTAGACCATAAATGTTAATTTACAGACACATTTTTATTTGAAAATAAAATCTATAACTGGAAGTCAATTCAGTTTTATTCATACAATCACAACAGACTCCTCAAGGAGCTTTATACTGTAAGGTAGATCCTACAATAATACATACAGAGAAAAACCCAACAATCATATGACCCCCTATGAGCAGCACTTTGGAGACAGTGGGGAGGAAAAACTCCCTTTTAACAGGAAGAAACCTCCAGCAGAACCAGGCTCAGGGAGGGGCGGGGCCATCTGCTGCGACCGAGAGCTGTAAGAACCGTACAGCTTACTGAATACGACTTTTATGGAGGAAGGCCACAGAACGATCACCCTGCAGGAAAAAGAGGACCTACATAACACTCCAAACAACACAGTTTCAATTTCTTAGGTTAGCTTCAACGCCGCGACCTGGTCTGTGTAACACTTCTGATCTCAGATTTTAGGAAAAGAGAACCTCTGAGCATCTCCTCACTTTGTAAAATACGATGTGACAGTGAGCGAAGCGCCAACATCTGAGCAAGAACGCCTGCTCTCAGTCAAAGCCAAACAGGCAGCTCAGTGTGAGGATTGCTTCGATGAGCAACCTCATCAGTCCTGTAAAACTAGCTGGTTAATAAATGATGGGAAGAAAGCCACACCTTTAACTTCAGTGACTCTAATGTCACTAGCATATGAAAAATGTGTGTATAATATATAAAATATACAAAAATACCAGTCAAATGCTATTTGGACACGCTGTAACGCTGTCAAATCTTCTTCCCAGTATGTTCAGTTTAACAACTTGCTGCTCATTAACATAAGAGAATGACAATCTTGTAATACAATATCCATTAAACACTCACCGATTGGCTGCAGTCTTATTTATAGTCCAACAACAAGCCGTGACCTTCCAACAGCCCAGCTATACATTAAGCAGCGTTGACTGCAACTCTCCCTTCAGCGAGATGACATGTGTGTTTGAGCCAAGTGTGTACACCGACTGTGTGTGTGTGTGTGTGTGTGTGTGTGTGTGTGTGTGTGCGCGCGCTGCAGCAGGCCTGCAGCAGTGACAGTATGGCTGCAAAGATAAGAACTATGGACAGTGGAGAGTAAAAGCTTTACATGAATGTGAGAAATGAATGCAATGAGAGGCAAAGACTGCACTCGCAGATAACAGACAACAACAGCGTAAAGCTGCAAATCTATTTTAAAAAAAAACATTTAAATGACAATCCTGGTGGGAGTATTTCAGTCTTTAAGGACGCTGTACAAAGAGCAGCAGTCGTTTGGTGCTGAGCTCGAGTATCAGCGTTTAACGCAGGGCAAATATCTGCTCTTTGGACGGGAAGTGCTCAGGAGGAAGAAATTAATCTTAATTAAGCTAATGAAGTTAGAAAGCTGAAGATGCTGTTCCCAACTGATTAAAATTAAACACCTATAAATAGAGCTGGGCGATATATCGAGTTTTTAAAAAATATCGATATATTTTCATACGAGATATAAGATGTGACAACATCGTTTATATCGATATAGTCTATGTTACGTTATAATTATACTTGTGGAGCCGCAAGTTTCTCTCTTTCGTCCATTTTTGTCTCTACGCTGCGTTACTCGGCCTCGCCTCTCCTTCACTGAGCACAACAACCCCTCCCCAATAGCTTCACCTGCAGGCAACGACAAGATGAACACGGCAAATCTCCGTTAACGAGTTACCGCGGATCGCCCCGTGCATGGGGCTGGACAGCGTCAACATGTTAGCGAGCTAACGACCTAAAATCCTTTCATTTTCTCAAAACTCGACAGTGCACCTTATGTGCAATCTGTCAAAAAATGTTTTAGTTCGACTTTGGTCAGCTACAGAGCCGCACCGCTTGATGGATTGTCGGAGCATTACGGCTGAGCCTCGCGGAGTGATACGTACTGTGCTTCAAGGTAATATTACCGTATTGTGTGTGTTTATAAGGACCATAAATGGCACCTGTAAGAGACACGGTTACGAAGAGGATTTCAAACTCCAGGCTGTCAGTCACACAGTAGAAGTTGGGAACAGAGCAGCTGCTTGTTATTATGCTCAGCATCTTTTAGTTTACATTTTGACTGCACAATTGTGAGCTTTTTGTTATGCACAAAAACAACATTGTTTTCTTTTATTTATGGAGCATGATTATTTAATAAATGCTCATAATTTATTTTTGAGTAATTTCTTCATGTACATCTATGCTGTATGTTAATAAAAGTGCCTGATTGACATTGAGACACAGCTTTGACTAAACTCTCTTTTTGTTCTTACTTTATGGCTTTTAAAAAAACCCAAAAAAAAAACAAAACCCCCGAGATATATATCGTATATCGCCATCCAGATAAAAAAATATCGAGATATGAATTTTGGGTCATATCGCCCAGCTCTACCTATAAATAACACAAATGTTAGACGTGGGTGCAAAACTCAACCTTATCCAACAGTCTGAAACGTTATTCTCTGCATAGCTGTGGCCTTCTAATGCACCGCTGTGTGTTTTCTTTATCAGTTTACAATGAAGATCTATATTTATGCAAAGAGAAAACACACTAAATGGAGGCATTAACCACGTATGCAGATGAGGTGGTGTTGGAGGCTATCCCAGCTGACACCCAAAGTCAGCTAAATGCAGCTGGATACATGCGGATATACAACCATAATCTTTCTAACAGTTTTAAACTAATAAAAACATTTTTTAAAAACCCAATAATATTACCCAGAAACATAAAATGATCTTTTGCCAAATCTAACAACGTCCCACAGGGCAAGAGCACTATAGCCCTGCACTATGTTTCTATGAGACCAGTGTGCTACCTTCAGTTTGTCCATTATGGACTCTTCAGAAGTGTCTCCTGGCTCTGGGGATGAAATCATTTCCTCCCTCACCTCTGGCAGGTCAGCCACCCCCTCTCCCAGGTAGAGACTCACTGGTGTGACCTGACAGCTATCCTGTTAAAAGAATGATAAACTGCTGCTGCTGATCATGATTATGGTACCAAACCAGTGTTTTTGTGGGTGCTGCTCACTGCTGCAGAGGCTGCAGGGCTGCAGGGTGTCCCATGGCCTTGGCTCAGCAGGACAGTGTGGATGTAGATGTCATCATCAGTATGTGTGTCACACAGGTAGAGCTGCAGCACGTCTCCACTGTAACAATCCAGAGCGCCCACCAGGGTGCGATCATAGCACAGTTTCTGGAAGTCGGCTGTTGCCTCAGGAGTCCAGCTGCCCTGCAGGAGACCAACCACAACACTCATTTATGAATCCAAACCATAAGAGCACTGAAAGCCAAAACATTCAATTAAACCATCACAAGATGGCTGAGACGCTGGCATTACCAAGGCACTGGTGCTGGAGTCTATAGAAAGGCTTGTCTTTGTAAGGAAACTGAAAATTAAACTAAGGCACAGACTCACAGAGGTGGGTTTAATTCCAGCGAGTGAAGATGGGACAGCTTGTGCTGGAAGAACCGAATAAGCCGACCTGGGAAACAGCCAGATAAACTTATAAAATATGCACACATCTCTTTTTTTAAATCATCCTTTCAACGAGAGCTTGCAGAGGCCCCTACTTGAGGAACTTGAGGTTGGCGGTTGGTACCACTGTCAAATCACCAAAGTCCACATAGTACACCTCCACTTGAGTGGGGGAGATCACCTTATGGATCACCACCCGGTAGAACCACACTCCGTCAGGTGACACGCAGCAGACCTGACCCCGTCGAACAAATCTCTGGGGAAGGCGATAGCACTCCGACATCTGAGGACAGGTGTAGCATCGTCTAGGAGACGAGAAGAGGAAAAAGAAAAAGATGGTACTGATCAGAGTAGGCACGGTTAAAGAGTCCGTACAGTAGCTGCTGCTGCTAACACATGCACCACCTCATCGCAAAGATCATGTTCTCCATAGCTCGGGCCTCCTCAGTCTCGCTGAAGCGAATGTAGAAATATCCGGGTGACTCCACCCGCTCCACCAAGACTTCCACCAGCTCTCGAGCACAGTGGCGCGTCGGTGGTTTGAGAGGCTTACTTTGGAGGGCGTCGAGGGGTACAGCAGGGCTGAGATGCACCGGAATTGCAGAAATCTACAGACAAACACACAAAAGGCACTCGATAACATTTAGCTCCTCTTACAGGCTGTAAAGTGCAGTTCAGAGTCATCACTTTTAATGTCCGTGCATCAAGCATCACTGATTACTTGCTTTGGTCAAACCACAAAAAAATGTGTTTTCAAACCATTTCCTTGGGTGTGTTACTGGTAACCAGCTCGTTGTTCTCATCATCTGATGGTGGGACAATTGGAAACGTCTGATCATCATTAAAACTCTCGCTCTCTTTTGAGTCTAGAAACAGAGACAAATACATTTCCTGCTTGGTTGAAAGTCATAACTGCACAAATATGCTCCAACGCGTGAAATCCACACGTGACTGTAATTCGTGACTTTACTGTGAACAAACATAAGGAAGAAAGATGTGGGTTAAACACTCATTTATATTTACAGTAACACTAAATAGTCATTCCTCATGTAAGCGAAGCAAACGGTGCAATGATAAATACACACCTGGACGGGTATTCTCAGTATCATGTATGGTCCTGATTATCCAGTCTTGTCCACTGCCTCCCTCTGCTGGTCTCAGGTGGAAAGTGTCACTCATGGCACCGACGAGTTCAGTGACGCTAACAAAGCCGCTCTGCTGCAGAGGCAAGTCCTCGCCAAAACACCTCTGGGAGGAAAGAAAGGAGGATATTTAAGATTCCCGAGAAGATGAGTGTGCATCTTTTATTAATGTCTGCTGTGATCGTGGGCGACCTCCAGGGTGGGGGGGAGCCAACAGTGTGTGTGTGACAGGTTGTTTCTATTAGTGATTAGGACCTGGATGACTGAGAACCTTCACAGACAGATTAGGACGGCTCTGCTTCTAACATCCTGGATCAGTTTGATGTTTAGAAAACTCTCTGTTAACAACACAAACATGCAAACTTGTTTTTACCTTGTACTCTGCTGGCAGTTTGTGAACTGATAATCCGCCGTCCGTCTGACCTATGACCTGCAGAGTTGTCGACATGTTAATCATTTTCACACGTCTGTTGACCTCTTACGGTCATCTGTGATTAATACGGCGGTTTCAGAGCGACAACAGGGGCTGAGAGCGAGTCGTATACTCGCGCGTCCTTTCCCCCCACATACATGAACTATAACAGCACTTGCAGACTTTACACTTGTTATGCTTGCGTGATTAAAACTGGGCTCAAAGACATATGCTGATAAAGCGGTGCGAGGCCTCACCGCTCGTAGTTTGTCCTTCAGCTCCTGATTGATGGTGCCAGCAACTCCGTTCTCCAGGATCTGCTGACGAAGCCCCTCCTCCAGCTAACATCACATTTAAGAAGAAGAAAGAAACTGCACTTAACAGATACGAGGTATATCAAATAGGATTTCTCACCATTACTTGACAGGATTTAGTAACAGCACTATTTCTGATTTTTCTGCTGTAGTGTGCCTGAACAATTACACCCCAAATGTTTGACCTAAACCAGAGTCTTTTAGGCGCCACAGTTTATCCAGTGAGAAGCAATGGGACATTAGACATTTCATATCTGAGATGGATTTCAGCTGCAAATGAAACCCAACCTGGAGGACATGGTTATCAAAGAGCTGAATCTCTGGGGAAAGCTGAGCTTTGGTTTCCTGGTTCTTCTCGTCCGCCCCCGGCTTGCTATCGACGGTTCCGGGCTCACTACGGGCAGAATCCAAGGAATTCTGGGTAGATGTCTGGTTCAGAGATGTTGGTTTCTCTGGAGCTTCAGCTGAAGAGGATGCAAAGGTGTTTCAAAATGCAGACTAGTGCAATAATACAAAGCCAAGTTTCTCAGTTTCATTTCATTTACATGGCACCAAATCTAACAGTTAGAAGTGCAAAAAACAAACAGAGCAAAACTAAACTACAAGAAAAAGCCCAAAGGACGAACCTGGAGGTGTTTTTGGCATCTGAAGTTTGACATCTGGCCTTTCAGAATCTGGCCTGCATGTCCTTGGCAATGCTGGTTTTATCAGTCCACCCCTCTTTGTTGAGGCGGGTAATTTGAGCAGTGGCCTAGGGATCATATGCTCCCTCAGGAACACAAGTGAGCCAAACCTGCTCTGGCTAATGACAACCATATCTGCCGCTGCCCCCAACATCTCTCCAGTGGAGTAGAACCCATAGTTGCGAATACAAAGCGGTCGTCCAAAGAAGCGCCAGAAAGAAGCCTCCAAGTCGGATAACCTAATGGGACCCTGAGAGAGCAGCTGCATTATTACTCCACTGAGAGTACGGTGACAGAACAAAGAAAAGCCCGTCAGGTATCTTCTCTTCAAAATTCACGTTAACAGGCTAGACCTTATAAAGTGCAACAAAAGCCAACAATCTGTGCTCTCATTTTGCTCATGCTTCATTTGAATGATGCTGTGCTTATACCAAGCAAATAAACCAGCTGCAAAATCTACAGCAGGCTTTAAAAGCCCAGGTTATAATGGACACAAAACATTAAACACATTTCATTCATACTTGTGAGAGCAGTATTCGCAGCTCCGTCCTCAGCTGTGCGGGGATGGCTGGAGGAGCGGGGCCTCTTCTTGGGAGGACCACATAGTGGGACACAGAATGAGTTGGAAAGTAGCGGGCACCTCCCCTGCTGACCTTTTTGTTTGGCTTAGAGCGCTGCTTGGTCACCAGCTCCTCGATGCGTCGAGTGGTCTCGTGACCAACAGCTGCACAGGAAACCAGAGCGAGAGTGTCAAATACTTAAACCTGTTCAAGAGTTCAAAGACAAGAGCGCTGATGCCTTAATGAGACGCTACCTTTTAAGAATATGCTCCCATCTGGCCTGAAGTTAATGGACACCACATCAGGCATCTCCTGACTCATATCCAAAATGTTCCTGAAGCCCAGGACTTTCAGGGGCATCGAATGGCCCAACATGGTGGAGTAGTCTCGTAGGAGCTCTTCCGGAGCTAAACCATTCTTGGATGAAATGAGCAAGGAGCGAACTTCCTTCTTCAGTTGAGCCAAAATGTTCTCATGGTTCATCTTACCTGAATACATCTGGAAAACACAGCAGCTGGAAGTCAAGAACCGCTGACACCTTTCTCTACACACAAAACCACTTTACTAAATATGATTCTACAATTTAAGTGTGAAGGCAAACGCATGGCTTTATGTTTTTTTGCGTTTAGGTCCACAGGCTTGCCTAAAACAGGCTAGCTTAAGTTAGCTCCTGCCTCTAATTAGCTTTAGTTAGCTCCTGCCTCTAATTAGCTTTAGTTAGCTCCTGCCTCTAATTAGCTTTAGTTAGCTCCTGCCTCTAATTAGCTTTAGTTAGCTCCTGCCTCTAATTAGCTTTAGTTAGCTCCTGCCTCTAATTAGCTTTAGTTAGCTCCTGCCTCTAATTAGCTTTAGTTAGCTCCTGCCTCTAATTAGCTTTAGTTAGCTCCTGCCTCTAATTAGCTTTAGTTAGCTCCTGCCTCTAATTAGCTTTAGTTAGCTCCTGCCTCTAATAGCTTTAGTTAGCTCCCGCCTCTAATTGACCCCAGGATGTATGACAACAGGTGTATGGAAATCCCGAGGACATTACAAGGGTTAATTAGCTTGAGTTAGCTCCTGCCTTTAATTAGCTGGACTTAGCTCCTGCCTTGTGAACCAGAAACGTAGAAGTCGCAGGAGAACATTAATGCACAGTCTTAAAAAACCTGTCTTGTCTTGTTATAAAATCGTTCAAAAAGCATCTTTAGCCTGAGGTTTAGTTACCAAAAAGCATCAAAATGCTAACAGGACAGTCTCACCTGTCTGTAGCTGCGAGAGGCCGAACCTTCTCTCTCCGCACGCCGCTACCTAGCAGGACTTGCTAACGATACAAATTCAGTTGCCAAAGCAAAAAACAAAACAAACAACAACAAAAAAAACCCAACAACTTTAAATTCGAAGAAGCCGAAAGCCGTTTCAGTCAGCTGCCTAGCTAATAAACTGTTACTCCTTACCTTGACACTGGTCCCACAACAACAAAGAAGAAGCACCGCACGTACAGGTGGGGCGCAGAGCACTTTGTCCCACCCACGTACCGAAACTGTCCACCACAGTTTGATTTACAAAAAGCCAAAAGACGTTTTTCCAGTTTTGTCATTTTGAGACTCACAAGACGAATGGATGGGTTCATAGAGTAGAATAAAATGCCTTTTATTGTCACTATTCACTGTACAGTGAGATACAGAGCATCCCCACTCAGTGCAGACATGTGGGAAGAGAAAGGGCGGTGAGGTGCAAGGCTCTGCAGCACATGAACCCTATCCAAAAATATAAAATGTAAAAATATACAAATAAATAGTCCTATATATTTACAGTGTGGGTTATCACACGTAAATTACGTGGTGGTAGTCTGTGTATAGAGCGAAGTCCTTGGATTGGTGAGTGGAACTGTGTTGTCAGTGCATGTGGGAGTTCAGGGTGGTTTTGGCTTTGAGTCTGATGCACCTGTAGCGCCTACCTGAGGGAAGCAGGTTGAACAGGTCAAAACCAACCATTCAGCCTGAAACCCAAAGCAATGCTGGACAAAGCAGAACGTGGATCACAACAGTTTTTACGGGTTGTGTGTTTAAAATGAGAGACCACGAGGATACGAAGATTCCGTGTTTTATCCTCACTGTGTTTACTTTGTCAGGAGTGTGACTCCCTCACCTCAAACTGCCTCTCACCCCACATTTACTCTGCAGCTATCTGGTCACTCTTGTAGCCAGCTATGTCTTCTTTGTGAAAACAGCCGTGGAAAAAATACGAGTGACTTTTCCACGAGGGCCACGCAATTAGGTTTGAGTTTAATTAAGCACAAGTCAGGGAGGTTACAGCATGTCTTTTCCTTTCCAAACAAAGAAAGCTCTTTCAGACCTGCGTCTGCACATTCCTGTATAAGACACTCAGTGTGAGCTTCACTGGGATAATTAGTCCAAACAGTGAAAACCTCACTTCTGTATTCCACATATCTCCGTGGGGTGTTGACTCTGCCACAGAAGAGACTTAACCTAAACAAGTTTCCATTTGCATGCATGTGGTTAAATATTAACAGCATTAAATTCAGATTTACACTGCAGGCCACACGTTAATTAGTGGAATCTTAGTGGTCCATAAACAAACATGTAACATGTATAGAAAAAATTTCTTTTATCTTTTTTATCTCCAGAGGAAAATGTGTGGATTTAAAAAAGTCAAACCCTTGATGCTGCATCAGTTTTATCATTTTATAACTTGAATAGAATTTTTGCTAAAGCATTTGTTCTTATTTATGTTTTTCAAGTTGTTATTTTTGTAGTTTATCTCGAATTAATTTCATTCTTGCTGCTGTAACATGTGAAATTCCCCAGTGTGGGATTAATAAATCCTGTCTGTCTTTAATGGGCCCTCTATGGAAAAAAGGGAGATAAAAGGGAGAGTTGGATGGTCTTACTGGCAAAGCAAAGGTTTACTGGCATACAATTTAAAAAAAGAGTGTGGTAAGGGCACCCCTCACTGTTGTCCTGTACTCCCACGCTCCCAGCTTTAATTACAGGGACAGACTCTGTCCCATCTCCACAGTAGACAGCAGTACTACTGATCAGTCATCCAGCGAGAGGGGAAGCATCTCCCAGTAATCACAAAATTGATTTTTCTTTAACCTGGAAAAAGAGAAAACAAGGAAGAAATCCCTCCAATTTTTCTGCAGAGCATGCAGCCAGCATGGAGAAGTCCTCCAATCACCCACCAAGATCCAGAATGACGGCCAGGAAGGAGAGGGACAGGGGAGCCTCGGAGGCTCCAAGGAGGAATCCTCAGAGGAAGCCGAAGGTGGAGCAGCTCTCTGAAGCATCATCGGTGAGGAAAGAGAAGCTGGGGACGCATGTGGGGAAGATGGAGCAAGAGACAGAAGTGAAGGTGAAATCAACGGTGGTGGATATAGACAGTGTGAGAGATAATGAAGTCAAGGATGAGAATGTGGGGCTCCTGGAAGCAGCAGAGCAGGATGACAGTGAGTCAAAGTGTTTTTATTTCTTAAATATATGTTTTTCATATCTGAAAGTGTGATGAGACGTCTTCATGAAAGACTGCTGATCTTTTCAGGTCTGAAGCATAAGAAGCTGGGAGTCTGTGAGTGGCTGCTGATGGTCTTTGTCTTGGCTCTGGTTCTCCTCTTCTTCCCTCTTTCCATCTGGTTCTGCGTCAAAGTACGGACTAAACCTCTGATCCTACAAAGATCTGACATGTCTTTAGAAGATGGGCTGACCGCTTTGTGTTGAATATCAAACTGACACTTGAGCAACCACATGTTGATTCACAGGTAGTGAGGGAACACGAAAGAGCTGTGATCTTCAGACTGGGTCACCTACTGCGTGGGAAACCCAGAGGACCAGGTCGGCCCAGATTTAATTCTTATTTTTATTTATACTTTATTTTTATCTATTTATGGAAAGATCAACATGCAAGGAGTGGAGGTAGTAAGGGAGTGAATTTAAATACCTGGGCTTTCAAAGCAACGGGCAGTGCACAAGAGAAATGGAGACGAGAGAGCGGACGGTGGATAGGTGGTGATGAGTTTAATGGTTGGAAGACCGCAGTGAGACGATGGCACTGACAAGACGACAAGAGGCGGAGCTGAGGATGCTAAGATTTTCATTAGGAGCTACCAGGAAGGATAAGATCAGAAATGTGTGCTTCCAGACAGCAGCCTGTGTGAGGGTCGATAACGTATTATGAATCGCAGCTCATGAGAAGCCTCACTACTGTGACACCCACTGTCCCCTGTGTCTTTCTTCCTCTTCAGGCCTTTTTTTCCACCTCCCACTTCTCGACGTGTGTCACAAAGTTGACATCCGACTGAAGATGTTGAAGGTTCCTCCTCACGTGGTACAGAAATAGACACACACTGCATCACATATTTAAATATTCCTGTTTGGAATCGCGACGTGTGTTCTCATATGTTTGTACGCAGGTGGTGACAAAGGACTTGGTGAGGCCGGAGCTGAGCGCGGTGTGTTATTACCAGATAGAGAACGTGGCACTGTGCAGCTCAGCTGTATCCAGTCTGACCACAGTGCTGCAGAGTCTGGTCCAGGCTGCAGTCAGAGACGTTCTGGCCCAGCAAACATTCAGCCACGTCCTGCTGCACAGGCGGAAGATCGGGGAGCAGATACAAGCGACGGTCGACTCCTTCGCTTGTCGCTGGGGCGTCAGGGTGGAGAGGGCAGACATGTAAGACCAACATCATTTCTCCTTCCTCTGTAATTCATCTTTTTTTAAATGCACCTCCTTCACTGCAGATGTTCATTAACTGGAAGTCAAGGCTGAGCCAAAGCAAAGCAGCTTTAGCTTTATTTTGGCAGAATCTAAAGAAATACTAACTTGCACAATGAAAACGCATCACTTGTTGGAAGAGCACGGCTGACCAGGCTGGGTTGCGCTTGTTTTGTCAGAGACGAGCTCAGTTTTCCTGCGGAGCTGCAGCAGAGCCTGGCTGCCGCTGCCGAGGCCAAGAGACAGCAGCAGATCAAAGTAAGTGCTCGCATCGGTTTCTGTAAAACAGCAACTTTGAACCTGTGTGCTCCAAACTTCTGTCTCTACTCTCCACAACATTAGCGATGAAAACATCCACGAGCCGTTCTCTTCTACAGGTGAAGGCAGCAGAAAGTGAGATGGCTGCCTGGGATGGATTTCGGGCTTCCCTCCGTCACCTTCAACCTGCCTTGGTCCTGCCTTTCCCTCCGAGCCTCAACTCCGACGTGTCACCCCTACCTCCCCCTCCTCCCCCGTGCGTGGAGGGGGACGGCGGGGTGTCACCTGAGGAGCCAGACACAGACTCGCCAATGATGTGAAGCTTTATTCATGTTAAACTCAGGTGAACTCTTGCTGTATTTAAACTGGTGATTTCCATGTGTAGAAAAGAAAGAGGCAAACACAGCATAAAGGAACATAGCTTTTAGTCCTCAAATGTGTTCTTTAATGTCTTAACTGCAAATAATCAAACTGTAAAATGTGCAATCAAATCCGAGTTCAGTCAGTACAACAAAGGAGTGTTACTTCATGCAACAGGAAACACACAAATCTTTATTTTCAGAAGGATGCAGAAATAAATGTGCCTTCATCCACACTTGAAACACATATCATAGGATTAAACTAAGCCACAGGAAGCCTCTAAATGATATCAAGTGCTATTTGTCTTCTTCATGTAGTCCAGGGGTGTCCAATTCGGGGCCTCGAGGGCCGGTGTCCTGCAGGTTTTAGATCTCAACCTGGGTCGACACACCTGAATCACAGGATGAGTTTATTAGCAGGCCTCTGGAGAACTTCAGGACATGTTGAGGAGGTCATTTAGACATTTAAATCAGCTGTGTTGCATCAAGGACCCATCTAAAACCTGCAGGACACCGGCCCTCGAGGCCTGGAGTTGGACACCCCGATCATCAGCCTGGGAATAAACACTCAAAAACTGGGTACCATCGATGGTCAGTGATGTTTTTATGTGTTTGTTAAACTTCCCTCCTGTTCACATGTAAACCAAAAAAGTATTTAACACTGGTTAAAATAAATAAGCAGAGACGTCCGATGGTCCGATCAGCATTTCTTGGTCTTTCTGCTGCTGCTCGTTGGTTTGACTGCGGTTGCCGTTTTCTTCGGAGGAGTTGGTGTTGTTTCTGGCTGCGGTGAAGGCGGCGGTGTTTTGTTTTTTTCTGAAACATAAACCAGTAAAGACATGAACCACCTCGATGCGTATGTGCTGTGTCACTGTCTGGTTTTATCAGCTGGTTAATCTGCACCTTCAGTACTGTGGGGCTCCACACTGGGGCGACCCTGCAGTTGTCTCTCCAGGTCTTTAATCTTCTTCAGTGCTTCCTGCAGAGCCTCCTCGGCTTTGAGGGCTCGCTTCTCCGCAATCTGCACTCGCACCTCAGAATCACTAAAGAGGGGCGGTAAGGGAAAGTAAGCCGATGGATGGATGCACGTGTAGACTGATGGATGGATGGATGTTTTATAGTTTATAGCAATAGTTTAAAGTAGTGCTTTGAAAAAATTGTGTAAAAAGATACAGTATTGGGCAGAGGTCTTGAGGCACCCCTCATTTCGTTAAATTTTGCTTCCAAGGAGCTAGATTTTTATAATTATTATTATAATTTTGTTTAACCAGATACTTTATACTTCAACAGGGCCTGAACTCTCTCGGGGAAGCTTTCTTTTAATTTCTGAGCAGTTCAGGAATAGTTGTGTGGGACTCCTGGACTTTTACAGAGTATCGTGTGCATTTATATGAAAACAGCAGAGAGAGGTTACAATGAAGAAGACTAATTCCTGAAAATAAAGACTATTTTCAGGAATATCCATGAAACATAATTCATCCAAACATTATTTAGAAAATGAACTCACTGCAGTTCTTGCTGCAGTAATCCTACTGTGGTCAGATCCTTGAAAGCTTTCTGGTTATCGTCTGTCACCGGAGACACGACCAGCTCGCCCGTCTGACAGACACAGAGGTGGTTACAGGTACAGACACACGGGCTGTTCAGCTCAATGCAAACTGACAACAACATAAAAATGTATACTTCAATTGTCTGACCCTGTCTAGCTGGACACTGCACGCTCCAAGCTTCCTTTGTGCAACGTTTCCATCATAATTGATCAGATTCAGCACAGGGCTCTCACAAACTGTTTGCTCCCCCTACAGGACGAAAACAACATTTTTAGTCATCCTGCTTAACACGATTCTATTATAACCTCCTAGGACCTGCGTCCGCATATGTGGACATCACATTTTGGGTTATTTAGACCAAAATACTCAATTTTGCTCTGCATGGGCCTGATATCCACTTACGAGGACGTTATGCTGCTACTGTTCTATCAAAGTTTTAAATGAATATCCTCAGATGTGGCTCTTATTTTTCTTTTAAAAAAAAGGTAAAAAAAAATCTGGTAATTCTTTGTTTTTACATTCATCGGGCCCCAATCAGCCCAAATATCAAAGAAAAATTTAAAATCCATGTCGTGGAAGAGTTCAGGTCTTAGGAGGTTAAAGGTTCGTAAAACTCCTTAAATTCCACAAGTGTCAATTTAATTCACTCATTTTGTGTCACACAAAGCTCCATAATCTTGCTATTAACGCTCCAGTTGACAAAACTCTTATGTTTCGTGTCTTTCAGCAGCCAAGAAATTTTCTTTGTCTGAAATGTCTTTTTGTCAGCAAATAAGAGTGAATGCTTAACCCCGAACCCTGACACCAAAACCACATTTTGAGTCTGAAAAATGCTTTCAAACTCGTGGGGACCGCGATTTTGTCCCCATAAGGACGGACACACACACACACACACACACACACACACACACACACACACACACACACACACACACTCTATAATAATAAAATCTGGGACAACTGTTCTTCTGTTGTTAAAAATACCTTTTTGTACTTCACCCACCTGGGACACCAGTTGCTCCACAACATTGACTTTTGCACATGAAGAACATTATTCTCTCTGTATATTTATTTGCTAAAGTAACATTGCTACACTTACTATCCCGGCTTTGTGTAAGCGTTATGTTGCTGGCAAATTAAAGCAAACACTCACACGTTTCTTTATATTTTATTATGTTGCAGGATTAACTCATGTGTGCATACTTACATTGTTTCTTTGTTTTCAGTCTTCATGTAGGTCAGTTGTGGGAAAGACCCGCCCAGCATTTCCTGATTTTTTTAAAGTACTGATGATGTCATGTCTGACATCAGCAGGTTAAACCAGGAGGAGGGTTTTTATGTAGGAATGCTTCCTTTTGTTTGTGTCAGGATGCAAAGGGATTTGTTGCATATTGTTTCTTACATGGAGCCGTTTAGTTGTGTTAATGTGGGGAGCTTCATGTAATTCTCAGTCATTTGTGTTGAGCTCCAGCTGGTGGTGCTGGCTAAACTAACTGAAGGTAAATTGGCAGCTCGGTCAGTCTCTGCTTGATGCAGGTGAGGGAGGAGAGGTGAGCTGTGTCACTGACTCCATGTGGGTTTTGAGTTTTGTTAAATAAGTTAATCTAAGGTGAGTTTTGTTAAGTTTCACATATGATGGAGGTCACAGTAAATAAATTGCTCATCTCCTCCAAAACGTCTGTGGAGTCAGCTCACTTACCACCTTCCTTGATGCTCCAGTCAGGCTACTTCACAGATCCCAAAAAATCTAGCAAACGTGTGCGAGCTCTATTCGAGTTGAATCCTCACCACAGCCTCCGCACCGTCTGCTGGACAGTCCAAGACGCCACTGCTGGAAACAGGTGCAGGCGGCGTGACGGGCAGCTCCACGGGAGCGCCTTTAACACCTGTGAGCAGTATCCTGCAGGTCTCCACCCAATCACCACACTCCCTCTGAGGACACCAATCACAGTTGACATTGCAAAACTATACTGACCCCGCCCCAATGTTACAAGTGATAGTGTATGTGTGCCAGAGGTGTGTTTACCTGCAGCCTTTTGAACTCGTTCATCTCATTCTGAGCCTGAGCTGACAGCGTGTTCAGGTGCTCCTCCAGGACCAGGCTGCACGAACTAAACAACATTTTCAGATGAGTTTGACAACCTGTTTCCTTCCTCGCTCGCTGTTTAAATGTAAAGTTACTCCAACGTTTAAAAGTACGTAACCTGCTCGAGTCGGTTCGTGTGTTGTTATTTTACTGTTAAAGAGATTTATTTTATCACACAGTTACTGTAAAATAAATAACTAATAAAATATTTACAACAGCTTCTGGTACCTGGTGATGTAGCTGGACAAGCGATCCAGCTTCTCAGCCAGCATCTGGGCATCCTCATCCAGAGTTTCCTGTGAAATTTCTGGAATGTACCGGTGGGGTTCCTCTTCTTGGTTTTCCTCCTCACTGTGGTTGGGAACCACAAGGAGTAAGAGCTCTAACATCCACCGAGTCTGAGCCACGTGAACAGATCTGATCTGGTAGCAAAGAAAACATCCAGACTCAAAGAAGCCAAAACTCAGATCGTCTCCTACAAACAGCCGCTGTGCCTGAGCACCGTATTCATGGGGCTCACGTGTTAGTTCCAATTTAACACAAATACACTCAAAAGACAGCAGAATATGTAAATATGGTGTTACTGAGCATGCCCGGTACTCACTTCTTCATGGAGCCTAAAGTTCTCCCCCTCAGTGAAGTCAGACAGGTTGGTTACAAACGCCTGGATTTTGTCAAACAGCTTTTCTGCCTCTGCGCTGTTTTAACAAACACGCACAAAGAAGCATTTCAGAACCGCCGTAAATGACTCCAAGTGTTTGAATTTCAGCATGAAAACAGATCAGGCTGAATTTTTCTACAAGTTCAATTTGTTTCCCTCTATCTGCCAAACTGCAAAACGTCTGCAATAAATGAATAAAAAACAATGCTCATTTTAAAATTCTGTTAATTTGTCTAATTCACTTTGAGAAAATGGGGACTGTGTGTAAAACTGTAATCCTTAGAGCGTTGATGCAAAATCACATCTTCATTGCTTGAGTTAAAATCCAGCAAAAGTACAAAAACTATCTTTCTCAAAGTTAGTTTGTGTTATGGACCCGCACTCACGAAGTATCCGGTGTATTGTTGTCCGTTTTGTTGGAGAAGTGCCGAAAAGCTTCGTCAGCCAAACTCTTCCAGTTGTGCAGCGCTCTCTCCAGCTCTAACCAATCAGAGACGGCCATCTTTTCGGGATCTTCAATCACCGCGGCAAGTTTGGATCCCCGGGACTCCATCAGACCGTGCAGTGACATCACATTTCCATGGAGCCCTGCAACAGCATTGTTCAGCGACGTGGTCTATCCATATTTCAAGAATGATTAAATCATTTTCTCACCATTTTCTCCATCCACTTGAACGTCCAGCTCTCTGAGGAGCTCACACAGCTCTTTGTCCAGTTCTCTCTGGGCGTGCTGGCCTTCAGGAGGTCCCCCGTCAGCTGAAGGGTGTCTTCTAAAGAGCTGCAGGCTCATATTCAGCCATATTTCCTGGATATTACCGAGTTCACTAAGTGTCTGCTGGCAGTTCAGCTGTTTCTCGCCTTGGTAGTGTTCACACAGCAGTGCTAACATCTAGACAAAACAAATGTTTCCTGGTGTTTAATCATGTGCAGACGACTCTGGTTTGTTCATCTCCAATTAAAAAAGGAAGATTTTCTAAAACTATGACAAAGGTGAGACACATAAGCCTTACATTTGACCACTGCTGCAAATCGGCATGAATCTCTTCCACTGATGTTTTATCATATTTGGGTTCAGGAAGCCTTGAGAAAGGAGAAAACGTAGCGTTGGAGAATCACACAGTGACTGTAAGGTGTCAGTGAAAGTTCCAGGGGGCATTTTAACTGTCCTTACTTATTATTTGAGGAGCAGAAGGAAAGCCACTTGTTGATGCCTTGCTGGATGGCACTGATCTGTGCACAGTGGGCATGTTCAGTCTGCTTCAGCTGGGACATGAAAGCAGCCAGCTGCTTCCTCCAGTAGTCTGTGCTCTCCATGATAATGTTAATGCACTCTGTGTCCTGCAGCAGGAGGGTCGCTGTTACAGCCGGAGTCTAACTGAACCAGCAGGGCTATTAATGAAAATAAAGATTTGTACCTTAGATGTGAGAAACAGGATGCAGTGCTCTGCGGTCTTGAACCAGCTTTGCTCACTGATATGCAGCTGACTGACCAGATGCAGCTGCTTCACACTGATCACCTGACAAAAATAAAAAGCTTCATATTACTGCTGTTTCTGACTTTGTATCTTTGAGCAGAAATTTAATTTAAACACTTTAAATATTAGAGTCTGAGTGATAAACGACTTTTAGACCGATATTTGGAGATTTTACTTTCAGACACATGAAACATAAACAGATTTTCATTGCATTTGTTATGTGTAGTTATTTATGAGTCCATGCTAAGATAATATGACAGCAAAGTTACAAAATCATCTTGAGTCTTGGAATATACGTTTACGTTCTACTCGACTTCTGTGATCAGCTGGTTGTTGTTTCCAAACCAGTGCTGCGAACAGGGGAGCTGCAAAATGCCCTCTGATGGATAAACTGTGCAACACCACCAATAACACTGTGTACAGCAGTTTCTCCCATCCATCCATCCATCTTCTTCTGCTTATCCGGGGCCGGGTCGTGGGGGCAGCAGCCTAAGCAGAGAAGCCCAGACCTCCCTCTCCCCAGCCACCTCCTCCAGCTTGTCGGGGGAACACACAGGCGTTCTCGGCTGGCCTGGGCCTGCCCCGGGGCCTCCTCCCAGTGGGACATCCTAGGAACACCTCACCCAGGAGGCATCCTTGTCAGATGCCCGAACCACCTCAGCTGGTTCCTTTCGATGTTGAGGAACAGCGGCTCTACTCTGAGCCCCTCCTAGATGCTGAACTTCTCACCCTATCTCTAAGGGCGAGGCCATCCACCCTTTGGAGGAAGCTCAAAAGGGTGGATGTGTCATGGTTCTGGGTCAGTTTGACCCAGTATTTTGAGTTGTCATGTTTTTGCAGGTTTAGTTTAGTTCCATGTGTCATTTTCTGTCTGTCTCTCTTTGTCGAGTCTGCGTCTTTGTGTGATGGTTTCTTGTTCCTGTTTTATTGTGAAGGTCTGCGTCTCGTCTGTGTGTATTTAAGTCGCGTCCTCTGTGTTTGTAGTTGCTGGTCCGTCTGTGTGTCCCCCATGTCTCACCCGTGTGTTCTCCCTGCTGTCTCCTCTGCTCGTTCTCATTCTTGTCCAGGTTTGTGCTCTGTAGTTTAGTTGTTTCCAGTCTAGTTTAGTTCGTGCTCCATTTGCTGTTTGTCCATATTTATTTCGTGTTCAATAAACCACCTTCACTTCTCCACTACTGCCTGCGATTGGATCCTCATTTATTATTTTCACACGGCTCTTCTCACCCGCCGTGACAGGATGGCTGAAGCATCTATTCATTACTTTTAAAAAAATCAATCAGGTTTTGTAAATCTATATATAGATAGATAGCTTGTGTGGTTGGGACATATTGGTTGATATGCTGGTATAAGTATTACTATGGATGAAATGCTAAGGGGAAAGCTACATTGAGCATGTTGTGTCCTTTAATTCACTTCCTCTTTTGTTAGCCTTGGAGCTCCACAGAGAGCTGACCATAGAGTTGGTACAACAGTCATGTTTCTCACTCTAAAATGAAAGTAAGACCAGGTCAAATCAAAGACACCTCACACACCTTCAGGGCGAGGCAGAGGGTAAACTGGCTCCAGCAGTCTCTGTCTTCGGTCATGTGGATCAGCTGAGCTTCCAGGCGAGCTCTCTGAAGCTCATACAGCTGATGGTAAGCCTGGACCACACTGTAAAGAGCATAATTCACAACACAAAACTCGTTGACCATCCATCATCAGTAAAACAAGGCTCATAACTAATGCATCCAGTCGATGTAATGATCTCTGGACTAACTTTGAGTCGATGCGAGTCTGTTTGAGTGCCTCGGCTAGCTGCCAGTGAGCGTGCTCCGCCTGGTGGGAAACAAAAGCATCGTGGTCCCGGATTTTAGAAAGTTCCCTATGAAGACAACGCAGACACACACGTAGCAATGAATACACGCACATTTTCATATCTGCACATCTGTAATCAGCACATTAACATCAAACGTCCGACATATATTATTTGTTCTGGAGCAGCACGTGGTAATATTACTCGTGATCACCCCCCAGTCTGATCGTACGTACACGCTAAGCTGCTGAATGGATAACTTGATGTGGTGGATCTCCTCTGTGAGCCGACGATCCAGAGCCCGCTGGGCCACCACCTCGGTGTGCAAAGCCTTCAGGCGCCGCGGGATTCGATCCAGCAGCGACTGGTAGCGCTGTCTGAACAAACACACGGCTGCTGTGACACAGACCCTGCAGAGGTCATTACTGGACCAAGATTTCAGTTTTTACATTTAACTTGAATTATTAACAAAACGCCACTGCAGACTCATGTCTCATTCATATTTTGCTTTTAAGGCTCGTTATGCTTGTGGCCTTTCCTCTGATGTGTGTGCCGCTAACCTGAGTTTGGCAAGCAGCTGTCCTCTCTCGGCACAGCCCACGCTCACCTGCCTGATCAGTTCATGGAAGACAATGTTGTAGATATTTTGCTCAACCTTCACGAGCTCAAGCAGACCCTCCAGCTGGAAGACAAGTCATTGTGCGGCTTCTCACACTCTACACGATCGGATATTCCAAGCAGCACCACAAATTCTGACTTTTCTGTGTTTTATACTCAAATCTCTAAATCTATTACACTTATGATGGAAATGTTAACAAAAGATCCGTCGGCAGCAGGAGGACACAGAAAGATTTAGAACAGAGCAGACATCAGACACGACACCCGAGGTGAAGGCGGGCTGTAAATGTGCAGATTTGCAGCTGCAGGCTGAAGCAACTGAAATATCAATATTTTCCAGGATCGCCTGATATTTTCCGAGGTTTGGTCCATTTTTCCACGTAAAGGCTGCATGACTACATATGTTTCTCTGCCTGCCTACTTGTGAAAGCTCAGCCAGCTCCTCGCTCTGCTCATCCACTCCAGCCTTCTCCAGCATGTCATCCATCATCCCCATCAGCTGGACCGCTTCCAGCCTCCCACTGGGCCTCCTGGACACGAAAACATACAGAAACGTGTAATATTACACATTTAAACGCTCCCTTAACCCTGGTCTTGCCTAGCACCGCCTACTTCATGGCACACAGCAGGACAACTTCTTCTACTACATCGCTTAAGGTTAATTATGAATGAGAGGAATTCATATCTGTGAACTCACAGTGAAGGGAGGACCCGCAGCCTCTGCTCTTCATCCCTCAGCTGCACTGTGAATGCACTGTGGAAGAGACGGGTTAAAGTTGTGCTTTAAACACGATCACAGCATCAGACACACGGCGATAATCGACAGACAGACTGAACACAGTGAAGCTCACTCCTCGTAGAACTCGAGGCTCCGTAGTCCTTTATTTTTCACTATGTGAAATTCTTCCGGGATAAAACTGTCGGAGACGCACGAGTTCTGAAAGACAAAGCGGCCGCGATCATCACCTCGCGCCGTGCACGTGTGCACACGCTCACATGGACAGCAGCAAACAGGTATATGCACACACAGAGAAACAGGCGGCTCACCTGCGCGCCACCAACGACCTGCTTTTCACTAACTGGTGGGAGGAGTGTTGTCTTCTTTCTGGTTACCATGGCGTCACACAGGAAAGAAATATCCCTATAAGGACGCCATCCATGAAGAAAGGAGTAAATATATGTAGATGAGAAACTGAGCACTAAATACTGACATAATAAAACATCATCAGCTCCACGTTTGTAGAAATCTGACTGACCTGCCAGCTCCTGTCAGGGATGTTGGCTGCTCCAGAAAGTGTTTGTATTTCTTGCGTCCGAGTGGATGATGCCAGACTGCATCAGGGCGTCTGATTCCATAGCTCTAGATACAAAGTCAGTCCAGGTTGTTTTATATCAGCTGTTGTGTGGTCATGTAGACGTAAAAGAGGGTTTGATGCTACCTCGCAGTGTCGGTCGTGTGCGGATTGCCCCGGTGTTCTCCTCTTGCACACAGTGGAGGTTAGACTGAGCAGAAGTTCGTGTGGGACGATCTGCCCTCTGACAGCGGGCTGCGTCTTGGTGCTCACCACCGGGACCTGAAAATTCAGCTCTGCCACTGAGAAAGATCAAAACCCATCAGAACAGCTTAATAACTCAGAGCTGATTTTAGGGGACATTAGGTTTCACTGTTAAATGTCTACGTGCATAATAAAGGTTCTGGATTTTCTTGCATCACGCACAAAGAACAAGGAGACATCAGCTTTCTTTGGCTTTGTCACAAGTTAGGAAAAAAAGTTTAAAACAACAAGTTCTGTGCAGAAGTCTTTAGTGACCCCTAATTTCCTGATATTTTGCTGGAAGAATAAGTTCAGTTATTTACTGAAATGTGCAAAAATACATGGAATCACTGTCATGCTGAAAAACGAAGCTGTTGCCAATCAGATCCACACTGTGTCACACGGTGGATCAAACTCTGACAGCACTTTGTTGCATAGATAACTCCATCAGTGTCGACAAGACCGATGTTTCAGCCAGTACACCATCACCACGAGCTCCACCATGTTTTACAGATGGATGTAGACACTGCTGTGCATCTCCCCTGACCTCCTCTGTACATACTGATGAAGGTTTGAATAAAAAGTTTCAAATCTGAATTCACAAAACTGTCATGTCCTGTGTGCTGCAGGCAGGAGGAACGAAGGAGCCAAAATGCAGACTCAAAGACAGCTTTATTGCAGAACGCTAGGACAAGCAGGAAAACGCAGCGCTGGACAGAAGAAAGCAAAGGGCTTAAAGGAGTGACAAGGGAACAGGAAACACAGCTGGGACTAAGATGGGGTGCCTTCAAAGTAAGAGAAGCAAAACAGAACATGGTGTACACAGACAGGAGACTACCAAAGTAAAACAGGAAGTAATGGGAACACACAAACACACACACACAGAGACATGACTGCAGAAAACAGGCAACTAGACAAACATGAAGACAATGCAGGAAATGCTGGGGAGGAAAGACGCAGGGGTAAGACGAGACCAAACATGAACAGGACCAAATACTCAGACAAGCAAAACTAGAAGCACTAAATAAAGTTAGAAGTATAAGCAGACGAAACTAGGAAATAAAAGACACACAGAGAACACGATGAAATAAAGAAGAATAAAAGGACCAAAAACACAAAACACTCCTTTAGATCTTCTCCACTGATTTTCACTCCACTATTTTGGCCTCAGCCATTTGTTGACATCCACCCTTCCATCCATATTCCTCGTGTTCAATACAGACCTTCAAAAAGCTTGGAGAACTATCGTTCAATTCCACCTTAAATAATTACAAGAAAGTCTGGCTCTTTGGTAGCAAAATATAAAGAAGAGTGACTGAAGCCTTTTGCACAGTACGTATCAACTACCTGTACTTTAATCCTGCACAGTGTGTGATCAAAGCCATTTATTTAATGTCGTCAGACAGAATTTGCAAAAAACTAACAAGTTGAATTTTATGAAACTTGCTAATAAATGCATGGACGAGGGAAGGGCTCATTAAATGTTGTGCACATCTGCGCTGTTATAGTTATACTGGGAGAGAAGAGCCTTTAGGGAACATAACTGGTCCTGAGTCTGTGTCCCAGTGTTTTGTGTTGAGTTATTAATAGTCTTTGATTTCATTATTATTTATCATTTTCAGTGTCTTGGTTTCTGCGTCTGTGCTCTTCTTGTGCTCCATGTTCCCCGTGTCTCCCCAGTCAGTCAAGTCCGTGTCTTTGTGAGTGCGTCCTGCTTCCTGTTTTACTTTGACAGTCTCGTGTGCTGTGTTAGCTGCTGTGCTGTGTCTCATTCCCTCATTATCTCTCTGCGTATTTAAGCCCTTCGTCTTCCTCTGTTCGTTGCCGCATCGTCGGCGTGTCATCCGTGACATTTCCCATGTTCCGTGTGTCAGGTCTTTAGTTTCTTTGTACTTGTTTCCTCCCTGTTTAGCTTGTGTTAGTTTGTATTCCTGCGTTTTTGGGTCCTGTCTCTCTTCACTGCACAATAATGACACCAGTAATAAAATAAAATAAAGTAAAATATAAAGTATCACAAACCTTGGCACCCTTGTTAGTGTTGGTGTAACATGTTAGTCACACTAAAGTTTAAAAAAATAAAGCATGAATAAAAGTACTGACTTTTATTTATTATTACAAAAGGTGGTGCAGGCCTGCAGACAGCTCCAAGACAAAGGGATTGTGTGCAACCAGACGTAATCTGATTACTTTTTCAAGCAACTAGTAAAGTAAGGGATTACTGTTGCAAAAAGTAATTAGATTACTGTTACTTTCCTGTAAGCACGCTGCGTTACTAAACCATGATGTTGTTTGTGAGCGTCTCATGACAGTGACGTACGAGCGTGCGAGGTTCGTGGCAGCGACAGACGTGTGCAGATCAACAATGGATAATATGGCGTGCAGAGAGAGTACGAGCATGCAGCGTTTAAAGCATGAAAGTAATCACATTACTTTAAGTTTGATTCTGTAAAAAGTGGCAAAAACATTAGCGTCCGCTGTGCGTGGGAAGAAAACTTCTTTCTACAGCGAAAAATGAAACTTGAAATCTGAGCGAGCAGCGGGCACGCTGCCACGGGAACGTGACATTCACAGAGAAACCCCGGATCCTCCCACTGACATGTGCTGTGGACAAACCTCCACCCGACAGGACTCAGTGCTGCTGAATCTGTGATTTGAGTTATTTTTGCTGTGTTTTACTTGCATCTATTTGAAAGAGTGTAAACACAAAACATTATTTTATTTTATGTGCTGGAATGTGCAGGAAATAGATTTAAATGTTAATGAAATTTCTTCGAGTCAAAGACTGTCGCATATTATTTCATTTTGCTTTTAAAAAGAAGCTTTTTCATTTGATGCCGTTTTAGAAGATGGAGCTGAAAGGTCTGCTTCATGACGTATCCGGGTTGTCTCATGTTTTTAAATAGTAGCTAAGAGATAAAGTAACTAATTACTCTTGAAAATAAGTAATCAGTAAAGTAACTGGATTACTTTCTTGGAGAAGTAATCAGTAATTAGTAACTAATTACTATTTTGAAGTAACTTGACCAACACTGTGTGACTGATCCTACTGATGTTAAATGCAAAGACCTGAATGTAGAAACACAAAGTTCATGCGATGCTTTCTTTAAGGCTCTAAACTGAAGCGTGCCTCGGAGGGTTTCGCTTTCTTGGCCCCGACCCACTCGAACAGACGTGGGCAGTAGCTACTGTCACGAGTGTGCCCGTTAGCGTCACCTGCGGTGTCCGGTGTCCGCTCCGGCCTCGACAAACTCGGCGCTGAACTGGCCCTCGTTGATGCGGACATCGTGGAGTCACGGCGGGGACGTTACTCTAACATCTCGGAGACGAGACACGGAAAAGCGAGCGGCCACTTGTGTCCGTTTAACACAGCTGTCTCCTTCGCTCCCCTCAGAGCTTCCTCAACTTCCTGTTTGCGTTGCCTTGGGAACGCGTTCATTGCGCTGGATGTGCGTTTGTAGTTTGAACATTATAAGTGAAATAAATAGAAATACTTTTATTTATTTGGGGGTGTTTCTACGTTTATTGACGCCTCAGCATCAAAAATGTAAAGATTAAAAAATATTTCCGAGTTTATTTTTGATTTTCTGTGTTTTAAGAACAGTTTGATTTAATTGATCATTTGTCATGAAATAATCGCACCACGTATATAGCTCAGCGCTCTATATTAAACTTTAAACAAATAAGTAAAATGTGAAGTCGTTGGCTCGTCATTTGATTCATTAATGGCTCAGGAACTGGTCTTAATTGAATAGAATATTTCTATTGTGATATTTATTATTCATTGTGTTATTTATGAAAAGTTCTTTTTCTCTAATGAGACTGCCCTGTGGTGATCTGTCACTGCTCGGTGTGTGCAGCCCAGCCTGTGCCCCGGTGAACAGCACGCCGTCTTTGTTATTCCTGGGCTATGGGAGCTCTTGGTGGTGCTCCAGCCAGAGAAGTGTGCATCAAGTGGATCTGGAGTTGACAACGGCGCTACTGCGAGGCAGAAACGGAGCAATCTGCAGTAAGAGCGCAGCGTATGGCTAGACTTGAGCACAGGATGGTTTCCTGTCATGATTATGGATTTAATTCGCTTTCGTCATTTTGCGTTCCTTTCATGCACACTGCTCATCTCATCACTGGTTGCGACAGAGGGTAAGTGACTCCTTTTCAGACAATTAGTGTCAGAGTTGAGTTTCAGTTACCTCGAGGTTTAGTTTATTGTCATGATATATTCAAGCCCCACACCAGATTTCTGCACTTGTCCAGTATGAAACCAGAGTGAGTTTCAGACACTGGTGATAAAATATTACATCCTAGTATTTATTCTTTTAGAATGCATTCTCAGAAACCAGCAAGAAAACCTGCATGATTATAATACTAATACTAATACTTTTAGAAAGCTGTGTTGAATCTGAGTTTATTGGTGGGCTTGCATTTCAACCGGTCCATGCTAAGAATTTTAATTACAAGACTGAGCGGTGACATCACTGACTACACTAATCTCTGCACATTTTCTAAGGATTGAAAAGCTAAAGATGACTAAAAGAGATCTAACAATGGGGGGTAGCATAGTGACCCATGAACGGGGTGGGAAGACTGGGGGTGGGTTTGGGGAGGGGGACAAAAGAGGATGCTATTTGTCTCTGCTCCTGTCCAAAACACCAAATAGCAGCATTCTTATCACCGCCAAAACAAACAGATGCATACACCAGCTACGTGCATCAGGAGATGTCAGGTGCCACGCATGTGCCATTTAAGGGCCTGCAGATAGGTCCACACAAAGACCCTTGGGAGGTATTTGCATATGAAAAAAGCCTTACATGCTGTGGGAGGGGATGTGCAGTTGGCTGGAGCTGTATCTCAAACAGACACAAATGGCTCTGAATACTCTGAACTCGGCCTCAGGATATAGACTGAATACAGTGAGCTGAATAAAGAGTGAAATGGGAACCACCTGTTGCCATTTCAATGCATTCCAATTATACCACCAATATAACATTTTTAATATAACTGAAATAACTGTCAGAATGATTGTTTCAGAGTCTATAACATATCAATATTTGTTGTAATGATACAGACATGTGGTCAGAGAATATGCTCGATCTCCATCATACCCCCCCGGTCCAAGTCTAGACATGTATAAGCTGCTCCTGGAGAGTCCTGCTGGCTGGCTGTGAAACTGATTGACCTCCGCCAATGACAGATAAATGATAGCTGATTTTAAAAAGATTGCGCCAAGTGGAGCCTAATTGCGCTCTTCTGAGCCTCAATAGTCTCTGAGCCTGATTGTGCTCTTTAAGGGTGTGTGAATATTATTGTAAAATCTCTGCTCACATCAGCAGGACTGAATTTATAGACTCCAGCCTGTGCAATAGTAATATAAACACAAAAGAGGGAGACAACTTTGTTGCAAAAAAAGAAAGAAAGATTGTTAGGCTTTAATAACTTTGATAACAACGGGAGTTTAGTAAGAGATAAAGAAGGCAAACACAGGAAACATAGGGAAGAACACTGGCAGCAAACACAGCCGAAATGATTAAAAGAGAGAAGTTAACCAGTAATGTGGAACAACGTAGAGAGAGACAGAACAAGACAAGAACAGGGTCCAAAAGCCTCGAGGTACTGCAGCGAACTCAGTTTTAGGATGAGTAAAATTTGAGTTGATTCAGCAGCAGTGACCGAATTTCAGCCTCCCCACAAATTTATCTACTGAATTTCAAATGACTTCCTGCTAAGACAGTATGGGCTGTTCAAATCGTCAAGCTCACGACGGCTGTCGTGCACACGCCGTGGGGCCTTTCTGCACACACACAATAAACAATTCTGTAGACTTTCTCCCAAAACAAAGGAGGTAATGAGGAGTGTAAAGCAAGTCCTTAATCTGGTCAGGTCGAGAGTTCCTAGGTCAGGGCTTAAAGGATAACACCTCCCTGGCTTCCTTTACTCAAGAGGTTAGAAGTGCAGACACAAGGGGGGCAGGTGGTTTCTAAAATAAGAAGAAAAAAAGAAAGATACTCAAGCAAGCTCTAACGAAGAAACTGACTGAAACTTACAGGAAAAGGCAGAAAGTCTCAAACCCCAAGGCAGGACAGTCCAATAAATGTAAAGCAGGCACTGGAACACAAAGAAGAGCACTGTGATGAACATTCAACAGTCACAGATATAGTGACTACTGACAAGTGACTGGATGATGTATACGCAGGTGCTAAAGGTGTAACTTAACACAAACTAATAAGGCTGGAACCAAACAACGACAGAAGATTGAAAACCACAAAAACAGTTGCACCAATAAAAAAAGTACTTTCATGCTATCTAATATCAGTGTGAATGTACTGATTAGAGTCATGGCACATTCTTTAAAACTATGAAAAACAGTACATACGATGCCCCCTTATGCTCCATGGATGGATCTCTGAGGTTGTCCCATTTGTTCTGCCTGCAGTACAACAACTTTGAGCAGCCTTGCCTGTAGCTATTTATGTTTGATGCTTTTTTGTATATGTAAAAGCTGCAGGCAGTAAGTCTCCAGGCAGACATGATAGAGGAATTCAGTCAGGAAGAAAAATAGCAACGCTTTAACACAGATTCTAAAGAAAGTTTAGTTTTGCAGGTCACAGTGAAACTTTAACTTTTAGAGCTTGTCTGGGTGCACGAGTGACTAACAGCACAGATTTAGAATTTATGCCTGAAATCATACCGTGTGATGTTATTCCTCTTCTTCGGCTGAACCCATTTCTTTATCTACCAGACTAAAAGGGTCTCCTCATGTTGCCCAGTCATGGAAGCTGTGACTGTATGTGACTGCTGCTGATGAGGACAGAAACAAAAAAGTCTGTAAACTAAAATCTAAACATTTTTGAGTAAGATTAATATGGATGATAAGTGTTTGAGGCATGCATAACTTGATAACAGCTGCTTATAATTGCAGTTACACAAGAAAATCAAGTGCTTACCCTCTAATTACTAGTTATATCATGTCCATGCTGACATGAGAGCTAAACCCAAAGCTGTATCATTGTGCTGTTTAATCCTCCTCATTAAAACACACCATAACGAGTAGAGCAATAAATGGCTCAGATGTTCGGTTGGATGCTGTCACCATGGAAATAGAAGGAATGCTAAACCCAAACAGTGAAACTGGTTTCTGTGGCAGCCGGCCACAACGCCTTGAGAGGCCCTTGAATTTAAAGCCCTTGTTACAACAACTGCTAATCATTTTTTTTCTTTAATCAAAGCTAAAGAGAGATAAAAGAGCTTCGTGTTAGACGTGATTGAAATAAAACAGATCAGGATCATTCAGTGGGCACTCGTGCAAACAGTTGTTTTGAAGTACTGTTGGACACATATTCCATCTGGAGTGCCTCGAGACTGATAAACATTTACCCAATACTTAAAATCTGGATCTTTTTATAGAAATGTTGTAGATATTACATGGCTGTATGAAGACTGGATGGACGGATGGACGGATGGACGGATGGACGGATGGACATATGGATGGATGGACAGATGTATAGATAGACGGATGGAGGATGGATGGACAGATAGACAGATGGATGGAGGATGGACGGACAGACGGATTGATGGATGATAGATAGATAGGCGGATGGATAGATGGATGGACAGATGTATAGATAGACAGACAGTCAGACAGACAGATGGATGGAGGATAGATGGATGGACAGAGATGGGTTGATGGATGGATTGAGGATGGAGGATGGACAGAGACAGATGGTGGATGAATGATAGATAGATGGATGTTCACAGACAGATGGAAGGAGGATGGATGGATGGACAGACAAATAGATAGACAGATGGATGGACGGACGGACGGATGGATGGACAGACAGATGGATGGA